TATTCTGTCCGTTTGTATTGATAATCTCAGAAACACCTTACCCGATTTGTGTTGTAGAGAAAGGGATTGTTAGTAAAGTGGATAAATAATAAATAACGATTTTAGTTTCGGCTCCGCGCGGTTCTTGTTAGAAACCATTGTGATAAATTTCTAATAAATTTGTCACGTTGGGCTAATTAACATTTCCTCATGTTCATCTTATCATCCCCCGTGCCCCGCCAGCGTAGACTGTTAATGCTGGCAGGTACACCATTCTATTATCAACCATTAAAAAAAACTACTTGTTTCTTATATCTAGTTAGTGTTCTTAATTCAAATTATATAAAAATGTTTATACACTCCACGCGGTTCCTTGAAACCATTGCGATACATTCCAGATGAATTATATAAAAATGGTTATATACAACTTGTTCCCTTGCCCCGCCAGTGTAAATTAGGCGTGTTCACCAATTCATTATTATATAAAAATGGTTACATATACAAAAAAAAATATACCTAGTTAGTGTTCTTAATTCAAATTATATAAAAATGTTTATATACTACTTGTTCCTTGTACCTAATTAGTGTTCTAAATTCAAATTATATAAAAATGGTTATATACAACTTGTTCCTTGTACCTAATTAGTGTTCTAAATTCAAATTATATAAAAATGGTTATATACTACTTGTTCCTTGTACCTAATTAGTGTTCTAAATTCAAATTATATAAAAATGGTTATATACAACTTGTTTCTTGTACCTAATTAGTGTTCTAAATTCAAATTATATAAAAATGGTTATATACTATTGTTCATGGCGCACAGGTATGGAAAAGTATACATAATCTCTAAATATTCTTATAACATAGGTCATTATATCGTTTCAAATAAAAGGCCGGATTTCTGCCGCAACAAAAGAAACGATTGAGCGTATTGTCTCCTACGTCTGAGATAACCGCACAGACAAAGATCGTAGAAAAGGCATAATGTCTAAATAAAGTATTTACCTATATTTTTCTGATATAATTCTTTTATACATTACTTATGGATTTGAAAGATATTTTAGTCCCTATCAACGACTACCGTGTTCTTTTTTGTATAACTGCATGACAAGTAAACGGTTCATTCGTTAAAAGTCGTATCAGTCAGGCAGGAGTTGGCTTTCAGCCGCTTCATAAGTCCTTGCGCGAGTTTGGAGTGCCGTTTGTACTAGTCCCCTATCGTTCGGTGAAGTCGTAAAGACAGACCAGCTATGGCCAACAGCGTTAGAATAGTTCGAAAAAAAGTTAGATATTTTTGTCTACTAATGTTGTTAATCACAGAAACGTCGAAAGCGGTTTTCCTACGGATGTCACTAATGTATTGTGTAAGTTACCTAAACACTAATAATGTTGTTTTTAATTTTACAAACAAAAGAGTTAGGTGATGAAGTCATGGTCTCGGCTAGTAAATAATAAATGCAATTGTAATTAATATAATTTATTTGCAACTATTAGGAATTACATGTATAGTTCATTTGTCACAAAACATCGAAGAATTGCAGGAACATAATGTTACAATAAACTACATACATCTTTGATAAGTACGACGAACACAGCTATCTATGTATCTATTTGTCACACAGATAGATTCAGACTTCAAGTTATAGAAATGTCACAAAGGAGTTCTCTAAAGTTAATAATCTTCGTAGACTAGTAAACCATCTAACTTAAATCTAAATGTCATTCTCAACATGTCATATTTGATATATTTTTTAATTTTATTATAAAATGATTATACAGATTACAAATTCCCGCCAAAAAAGCTGGCAGAATAATATAGCAGTATGGTTTGGTAACATTATTGGCATTATTTTTTTAATTATTACATCAAAGTTACGGTTCGGTTATCTATTAACAGAAACTTATTTTATACCAGGTAACCTAGAGGACGAATGTGAACCTAACCCCATATCTAGTATTCTTTGTAGAATACTAATTAATAATTGTTGTATTTTAAATAATTGATTAACTGTGATATCATTTTAAATGCTAACAGAATGTTTCTACTATTGTTTTAATTTTATTCACCTTATTATTCACTCGCATCGAATTAATTAATTATACAAATAGTTCTTATCTACGTTTGAAGTAACTAAACGCAATATCCATACTAAACAGGTTTTATTTTTAAAACACACACATACCAATAATGAAATAATATTAATTAATTTCATGAATACATAGTAGTACAATAATCATGACAAGGTATTTTAAATATTTATTTTTTATATTACTTTTTAATCAAATTACTACGGAAGAAAAATTTTCTTGAACTAAACTTGAACTAAACGAAGTTCATACTAAAGAAGTTTTATTTTTTAAAACACACACCAGTATAAGATTACAAGAAGAATTAGGACAAGGCATTTTATACATATATTTGATTTTAGTTACATCAAATTTCATTGGAAGAACAATTTTTAATAGACAAGATGACAGATGTAAATTCATATATCACACAAACAAGTTTAATAGATACACAACAGACATTATATGTATATATACACCCTTTTATAGTACTTTAAAGCTCGATCTTCCCATATCGGGATAATTAGAGTCTGTGCCACCCAATTTTACTTTTCGAAATACAATTTTGAAATCTATAATTCTTAGAAGCGTTTTATCAACTGCTTTGTTACTATACTACAAATAATAAAATACTTTTCGCATATCATAATATCACACGACTACTCGAATAACATTAGTTGAAAGCTTTCTTTCTTTAAATTCTTGTGTACTCGTATACATACATTAGGTAGTAAATACATAAAAAATGATAAAACTTTACGCGCTGAGAGAACTGGCAACTCATCTTTAATTGCATATTAATAAAATAGTATATTCTTTTTCGCATGTCACGTTTGAAATTGGTATAATTTTTAAAATAAGTAAAAAAGATATGCACAGACCCTAATATCTTTAATTCCTATCTAAAACTTAGAAACTCTCTCTCAATAGTAGATACAAGTTTAGAAAAATTGGAAAATAGAGATATAATAGAAAAAAAGAATAACCTGATAAAAGATTTAACAAAAGTAGTACTTTAGTACCATTATAAAGAAAGTATTTTTTTAATGTAGCAAACCTTTAACCTTAAAAAAGGTCATAAACTAATGAACTAAATAACATTTTTTTATTTAAATTAAATATAATCTGAAATGTAACAAAAGCTATAATAATCTTATAAAACAATACACATCTAGTTACTTAGAAAATAATAAAAAAAACTTGCATGTAAAAGTTTTAGTAAGTCATTTAGAAAAATATATGTATCTAACAGTAATACATAATTATTCATACATTTTATACATTCAATTTATTCACTAAACAAGCGTATTACTTTGTTATACAATATAATTTATTTTAAATAATACTGACATTTATATATCTAAAATTCTCAATAAATTAGTACGAAATACCAAATCGAAATCAATAGGTAGATAATGAATGTGTAGAATGATTAGTACATTAATTTATTAATAATTACGTCATTACTCGTATGTACTCATCAAAATTAACTACGTTCACCAACAAATATAGCGGAAAACTTAAAATAAATTATGAATTTTTCATACTCAATTGATCAGTTGAACGTGCAGTGTACACATATGAAAGTTTTAAATATTGTATTATATTTTCAACTTTGCTACTTTGGATATGAGGTTCAGTTTCGCTACTACTACATTTATAACAGATATACTCTGTACGACTAATTACTAACAAATTTCAACTACAGTGCAATTATTTTAAAGCTGACACTTGTTTGAACACATTTACTATTTCTATTGTTTTCCAAGCTCATGATGTTAATTAGAACGTGTATTTGCTAATATAATATTTTCTTATCCACTTACTGATGTATATCTCAAACTTTTAGTGTGATAATCCAGGTATTAAATTCATATCTGGGGCAAAAACAGGTATAAGTTGTATCTCAGAGTATAGGCGCACAGAAACTTATCTACATTATCAACAGCATATTTTGATCTGTGCTGCTGTTATCATAAACAAACGTATGTAGTACGAGTATATCTAAAAACCAATATATAATAATGTTTAAAAATAGAATTAGTTACATAGACTTTTTTTATCTTAATGATACATGCAATCTTTTGTATATTTTCAAAACTTATTAACTTATAAATATCGTTTAATATAAATATTAAATCGAAAATTCCACATGTTTGCTATTAAAATCAGAGTTCAATTATAAACTGAATATTAACGACCATTGTAATGTTGCATTAGCTCACTGTAACGAATGATAATTGAAATAATTTGCTTAATAATTCCGTTCTAATATAATAATATTATTAATAAATTAACATAATTTAATTCAGAATATTGAATACTAGATAATAAATCAATCCAAACATTATTACACATAATGTAAATTCCATTCGAATTATATAATGAAATGCGAGATATTTGAATACGATATTTATAGGTCATAATTTTGTGAGTTTGTTGAGGGAAACAATTTTTTTAACTTTGTAATTTTATAGTACACCAATCCAAATGAACAAAAACTATTAGAACTGTATATTTTTTTAGTTAGAAATCTTTTACGTTATTAATAAATGCTTTAAATTATATTGATTTGGAAATTTATATGATGTACCTAAGTAGAATGTAGTATAATATAATGACTCTTACCTTCTCAAGATATTTGTTCATTTTGCTAAAAAAATAGATTCTTAGTAGAAAAATGATTTTGTACAAAAGTCTAATGTAATTTTCCCGAAACTTCATTGAATTATCAATAGGTAAACCAGCTATTATAATAGGTACTTACAGCAAATATAGTAATTCATTGGGTATTATTATATTATGCGTCATTGATATTTCTTTATTTATTTCGGAATATTTATAGTATATTCTATAAATTAAAAAAGATATTATATATAGACATACATAATTAAAATACTTAAAAACTATAATCTCAACACAATTTCTAAATTAGATATTTCAATAGCTTCCATTTCAGTAAATCTAAAACTAACCATTTCAAATAAGTAGTACCTATCTATCTATGAAAAGTATTTTAAATATAAATAGTACAGCATTCATATAAATAAAAAGTACCAGTACCAGGATAGCAGAAGTTCACAGGACGTGTAAGTTCTCACAGGATTTCGACTTCGAAATGTCGTTGATGCAAATCTTCTGTAGTAGTTCCCGCGCAATGCTTAAAGAGATATGTGTTCTTGAACTGGCCAGTTTTGACGGTTTTGCCTCCTATTACAAAAGAAATATGCTTTATATTACTTTGTTTACTTTTGATTTGCGAATAAAAACAAATATTAACAGAGTAGCATAGAGCCTCCTTAAAGAATTTTAGAGCTAATATTTTTTTTTGTTTTACATATTTATTTACTTATATCGAAACGATTAAACTATTTGAAAATTGATATATAATAAATATTTTGTACAAAGCCGTTTCCATGAGACAGAGGTCTCCCTTTGTCTCACATATTTCATCCACCAAACAGGTTGCTTTATACGAATTATTTTGATACTGGTTAGGCCGATTACATATAATAATAATAATAATCTCAGGACAATTCACACAGCGCCATCTAGTCCCAAGTTAAGCTAGCTAAAGCTTGTGTTATGGGTACTAGATATCTGATACAAATACATAGATATTTTTTTTCGTAAATACATACATAATATACATACAAAATACCCAGACAATAATACGATACAAACAATCATACTCGTGAATACAAATGTTTGTGCCGTGCGAGGAATCGAACCCGCGACCATTGGACGTAAAGCGGTGTGCTGGACCGCTATACCACCGAGGTCGTCATATTAATTTTATCTTCCACAAACTAATATTTTAACAGACTTCAGATTTATCGGTCACAAATCAGTTAAATTGACTCTCTAGTCTTGTTTCTCGGTAGGCTTTTTCTCCAAGAAGGAAGATGCAAGAGGGAACCATGCTTTCATTGAATATTTTGCCATAGATAACAACATTTTCATAGGTATATATATACATATCAAATCTTACAATATACCTCAGATAATAATATTACACAGATATATATTTTATCGGATACTGTCTCCGTATTCCTGCCATCCTCATGTCTTCTCCTACCTGGACCCGGTGTGAGCCTTGTTCATTAACAGTGCTCTGGATTGGATGTCAGTGGGTACCGTTACTTTATGTGTAGAAATTTGTGAAAGGACGCCCTGTAGATCTAGTTCAGATCCCACGTGTAGTGACTGTTGTTTCTGTATATATGCGACAATTACTATTCACAATCAGGTGAATCATCAGCTTATTTACCATTTGAGTTACTTAAATATTCGGAACATACATTTTCTTCGTTTTTTTTAAAGATTGCGACTACGTTCTTAAAATAGTCTTTATGATATTATGAGTTCCTAGTGTTCTCTAAAGAAACGACAAAAGAAATATGTCTCGAACGAAATGGGAATACGATAAATGTGAAAATACTTTAGAAAGGGAAAGTTAATACAAATAAGCAAAGTTTTCTCGCCTAAAATTCTGTCCAGAACTTTTTTGTCAAAACTTCCGTAAGTACCTAAGTGTCGCTGGTAAATCTTTTGGATTTTTATTTCATAAAAATAACAATGGACACCAATACTGAGGTATTGTTATTACTAAATGTTCAATTCGTAATTTCCGTAATTTCAAATAATAATTAATTTATTTCTTCGCTGTAGTTTCTAAACTATTGTTACGCTTTCGGTAATCTAGCCGTTTACCATGCCTTACTTCCGATGGTCGCGGGTTCGATTCCTCGTACAGTACAAACATTTGTATTCATGAGTATGATTATTTGTATCGATCTGGATGTTTTCTACATCTATTTATTATGTGTGTATTTACATAAAAATATATATCAGTTGTCTAGTACCTATAAAACAAGCTCTGCTTAGCTTGGGACTATATGGCGCTATGTGGATTGACTTGGGATGAATATTATTATTATTACGCTTACAGATCTGTATTGTAGTAGCTAGTGAATGGCTAATGGTTGATATGTAGCTATGCTTGTGGGGTCTGTTCTGGTCTGTTTGGGTTGCGAACACTGATTAGATTATTTGCTTTTGCAATAGCATATTCTGGTCGTCATTCTATTCTCCCAAATTTTAATTTAAAAATTAATTTGTATTATTGTAAACATGTATAGGTAATATTAATTTAAAAAGAATACGAGCTGAGATTCGTGTCAGTTCTTCTTATTTCGAAATCATTCCGAACTGACGATAGATTTGACATATCATAAAGAGTCTGTAATAGACATACATGATTAAAGATAGTTCGCATTACAATTTTGTATTACAAATAACATATTTTATTTGAGAGGCGGTACCTGTTGTAATACTTACTAAAATATAAAGCTTAGGATGCAACTTTGTATGTTTTCTAACTATGTTTGTGTGTATATGGAAAAGTGAGTAATTAATATATATTTAACATTACGGTTTCCTATTAATACAATAGGATAGGCATAGATAGAGCCTTTTAAATACCAATCGTGTATATAATTATTATACCTGTTAGATCTACAATGAGAATGACTGGCAGTTTTATATATTATTTTATATATATAATAATTCTTTTTTTACAATTGTTTTACAGACACTTATATCATTGCGCTCTGCTATAATAAACGTCTACAAGCATCTCTTATTTATTATTACTATACCTACTAGTATATTTTTTATGTAATTAGAATGGTAAACAAGCTGACGGCCCACCGGATGGTAAATGGTAACTGTTGCGACAATACAACAATCACATATTTAAGTGAAACCTCTTACGTTGTTATTCCGAAAGACTCAGGTGTAATGTCTCCATGTACATATATATCCTCTGTTTTACTTGTATATCTCACCCATCAACCAGAATACAGCTTATAAAGCCACATGGAGGCAGAAATACGTGATACACCAACGATTTAATAAATTTGTTATCTACTTTGTAAATATGAACATTACTATTGTATGTATTCATGAATACAGATGTTTGTATTGTGCGTAGATGGAACCCATAATCCTTGATAGTAAGCAGATATAAAATAATTACTAAACCATCGTGGTTATAATATAAAGCTTATAGAAAGTAAAACTATCTTTCTATTTACACACAGCTTGTATTTAAAACAAGGTAATTAAGAAAAAAATAAACATTATTATAAAAGAAACAAAATAAAGCATTAAAATAATACAACTATAATTATGTTGGTAATTCTACAATATGAGATTAAAACAATTCTTTTTATATAAGAAACACAAGGCAGATTGAAATCGTTTTTCCAAGAAATTATTCCGCGAAATCATAATACAAATTTCCATATTTTTTCTGAAGAATAAGGAGAAAAGAATAAATGAGACGTATTAATTTGTAGCAATTAATTTAATTATATGTAGATATTACCATGGGTTGTTTGCAATTTACGTAGTACAATTAAAATCTAGAAGAAATAAGCAAACAATTGTTCATTTTCATAATTCGATCTCAATTAATGTAATTATTTAACTTTAAAGATCATTATTATATTTTTCAACACACTTGTTCGTAAGTGTTTTTTGTAAGTTTCACCATGTTTACAGGAAACCTTTCCGGCTATATCTTATTATATAAATTCGTCTAGTGGTTAAGTCCAATAGTCTATACCTACATACTACGTATATTATATACAATTTTCGTGTCACAATGTTCGTTACCATACTCGTTTCGGAGTAGTATAGCAACGAACAAACAAAAAGGAAATGCTTGGCCGATTTTTATGAAATTTTATAGGTATATTCAGTAGGTCTTAGAATCGGCTACTTTCTATTTTTCATACCCCTAAGTGATAAGGGTTGACTCCCCATAACATTTTTTTTTAAAAGGTATTAAAAAATACATACAACCCTAATTCTCTCTGTCCCTGTCACCAACCCCTATTTTTTAATAGCGATTGTAAATTTATATGCCAAAACAAAGTTGGCTGGGTCGGTTAGTACCTATACCTGTACCTGTATTTAAAAAATGTCATAGTATAAAATTATTAAGTATATTAATTGCATCATACCTTATTTCCAAGTTTTTTTGCCTGTTTCTTTTCTCTGCTCTCCTTTAAACGAATCTGTTTGAGAATACCGACTAGTAACTCGTCCACATTGTGCTGGATGCCTGAAGATGTTTCTATAAACTTGCAGTCTTTGGTTGTCGCCATAGCCTTCCCCTCTATGGACAAAAGTCTATTAAGTATGTATACAACACTTACAATGTTTAGTAAAGTATAAAGTACATGACAGCAGCATTTTGATATCTATGCATCTATACATATAAATAAAATTGTATAAATAATATATTTATTTACATAACTTAATTGTACAACTAAGAACCTAAAATTAAAAAGCTTAAAAAATATAATATAATAACTAAAGTATATTATTAAAAGGGTCCCTTTAGGCAAAGTTCCGAAGATACTGGCAGCGTTCCCTCTTTGAATAGCTAGACTGATTCTATCCAAGATAGCTGCTAAATAAAATTGGAGTGTCTGTTTGTAATATTGAAATACTACACGCATATGAATATTTACATACACCAAATTAACATTTTTTTACTATTTTTGTCTATCTGTCTATCTGTCGGTATGTTTGTTCCGGCTAATCTCTGAAATAGCTGAACCGATTTTGACGGGGCTTTTTTGCTTTTTTTGCAGGTAGCTGATGTAATAAGTAACTTAAACTACTTTTATTTTAGAAAAATAAAATAAAATTTCACACGGATGAATACGCGTGTACAGCTAAATATATAGGAAAGTAAACCTTAGGTTAAGCCTATTTTGGACTCATTGATGTTTAAAATAAGCTTAGCAATAGCAAAGAAATAATCACTGTAAAACTATATTTAAAAAATAAATTTCATTTCATTACATACTTAATAATAATTGTAAAATGTAAGGCGAGTTGACACGGTTTGTGTTATAACACAATATTTAGTTTGTCTTACTAGCCTTCACTAACTCCAAGTATTATAATATTGAAGTATCTAGGTAACTGTGTCCCATACTAATATATACATTGCCATGCTATAATCTTATAAGTCAATGCAGTATATAATCTTTTTCGACCGGTCCGCATCAGTCGTCATATCTGAGCTTATCTCCTATTATACATATCATCTCCCACACATCTTTTTCGTCTATCCATCTCTTCTTTGGCCCTCCTCTCCCTTCACATTCTTCTATTTCCATATTACACCATATGCGCTGTAGCATGGTGCGGGTGATATTTTCATTAACCTTTCGTTTCTCTCTTAAGTTGCCGCGATTTACAAATTATGACTTAGTATTTCAGCTGTACCACATTCGTAATTATTAAATCATTCATAACTGTATTAACTTAAATGTAGCAATTGTTAAATGTAGTTAATAACTGTTACCCGCACTATACTACAGCCGCACACAGTATAAAAATCTTTAGATCAGGATCCTCACTTCTCCGTATTAATTCTTATAATGGTACTCGTATATTTGAGCGGAGCGTTAAGCGTGGAGAGATCTTAGAAATCTGTTTTATACTCTTTGTAACGATACTCCTCCGAATGGGCTTAACCGATCGAGACTAAAATTTCATCGAAGGTAGATCTTCGAGCCGCCATCGTTTGCCATTAAAAAAATCCCGATCGTAATGATTTAAAAAAAAACGTGCCCCGCTCATGATGTGACTTGTTGTGTAAAGAATACACCGGTAACAAACCTAGCTATAATAATGAGATATTTCTTTACTCTAAAATAAATGATGGATTACTAACCATTGGTCGATACTTGTCTTGCTCGTGCCAAATCCGCCTTATTCCCCACCAGCACCACAGTTCTGTCAGCTGTGAATTGTTCTCTCGCCAAGTATGAGAGTAGCTCGCCAGCTCTGATAAACGAACTCTTGGCCACAACGGAGTAGACGATGACGCATGCGTGAGGTTCATAAGTTGACAGACAATTTTCCACCTATTTGATAAAAAGGTTGTATGTGATTAGAACTAAGAATTCTTCACTAGTGTTATTGTAGATGGAGAAGGCATTATCAGTTGTTGGTGACGAAATCTATGTTGGATATGTAAATTCATACAAATATTATTATGCGTGAAAGTGTGTTTGTCTCTCTATCTGTTTGATACCTTTTCGACGTCTCTCTATCATATCTAGTCTATCTATCGGATGGTGCATTTGACAGACATCGCCTATATCTATCTAAATATATATAACTCAAAGGTGACTGACTGATATAGTGATCTATCAACGCACAGTCCAAACCACTGGACGGATCGGGCTGAAATTTGGCATGCAGGTAGATGTTATGACGTAGGCATCCGCTATGAAAGGATTTTGATTAATTCTAACCCCAAGGGGATAAAATAGGGGATGAAACTTTGTATGAAACTTTGTCAATATTAAACCGATCGGGCTGAGAATTTGCATGCATAAAGCTACTATGACGTAGGCATCCCCTAAGAAAGGATTTTGATAAATTCGACCCCTAAGGGGGGATAAATTAACGCGAACGAAGCCGCGGGCAAAAGCTAGTGGCCTATAAATACGAAAATGATGATATATATTTTTATCAGTACCATTTACAAAGCGGCACCTAAACACAAACTAAGCAGAGCGTATACCATGGGACTAAACAACTCATAATATATTATTACCTAAATACATGCATAATATATATAGAAAACAACTATACCAATAATAAAAACATACTCATAAATACATAATGTCTGCATGAACCCGCAACCATCGAAAGTAAAGCAGTGCTAAACCGCCAGACAACTGAGGTCTACAGTTCTATGGAATGAGCCAGGAAAAAAGCTATGAATTTAAAAGTACTTTAATAAGCAGTTAATCACTGAAAGACTTATCTACATCTAAAGTATTAGATGTTAAATCCTCCCTTTGTATGAAGGGATTAAAAAGTGAAAGGAAAGACTTAACTTTCAGTTAAGTTAATTAAATTAACGAGTTTGTTACATCATTAATATTTTAATAAATAAATAATATTATACCGTCAAGGCTGCTACCCAAAACTGGGTAGTCAGAGGCATTATCAGTTGTTGACATCGTGGTAGGCAACACTTGATATATCCACATTTCACTTAGTATAAACATACACATATATTCAAATTAATCCAACACGGCAAGGAGTGAGATTAACGATGTGACTCGGATTAATTTGGTTTATTATCGGTGTGTTCCATCACTAGAGAGATAGTATGCATTGACACACAAAGATTTATTTATACATTTTAATTAGATAATGCGTTATTGAGATATTCTAAATATTCAAACATTTTTTAAGTTATTTCTGTGGTTACGATATAACTGTTTATTATATCTGATATATGATAGCGTTAAATTAGTAAAGTAGTAAAATCGGTCGATATTGGTAATTATAAAATAGGTTTATGTTTACCAAGTGTAATATTTTATTTTTTTTCTGAATGGTTGAGACTGCAATGATAGTCAATAAGGACAAACTATGTTATAAATATACCATCCCGTTTGAATTGAACTAGGGATCGATTGCAGTGTAAAAGTATGTATAATGAATAAGATCAATCTGATGATTTTACTATTCTTGCTTAGACTTTCGGACTTAGAGTAACAATCTGATATAAGTTGCCTGTATAAAAATATATAAATAAAGACTACTAACCGACATTTCAGTGCTGGGGTGATCAATGAATATTAGCTCAGACTCTTCTCCATCTAGCAGCACCGACACGGATTTTTCACCGAATTCGTCATCTGCAACAACGTATATATCATTACGACTATTATCTTAGATGCGATCGTCAGAGGCATTGTCAACTGCCGATGTTGTGGTGAACGTAACACTTGATAGGTCAACAAAAAATAAACTTGTTTGTTTCACGATATATGACTTTATAGGTACACTGTTCTATCCATTTACTGTGCCATTACCCCTGATTTGTCTGCATAAACTTTTACCTTATATTACACCAGATCCACTCTTCCAGATTGTTCTTTCAGTTAAAAGACACTTAATTTCTGATCTCGTAAGACATTCTATCGATTGATCTGATCGATTGTGAAGATCCATTCAGTGGATTAGTCGAAAAGGTAACACAAAAAAACTGAAGCATTTTCTATATTACTATTGAATATTGTGCGAGAAAGATTGTTTCTAAATCATGAAAAATCCTTGATCCTTGATAAATTCTTAAAGAAAATTGTTCAGATTTTATATAAAATAGTAACTAAGTAGACTTTATGTTCGTGTTAATTTTTTATGCCTTGAAAACTACACAAGGCACATCTGATACCTTTACATATATGCATTTATTATAATTAGTACAATCCTACAAGATTGAATGAAATATTTAGAAAATTAGTCGGGGTTAATAGTTAAAACAGTTTCCCTTCCTGGATGGCACAACATACTTATTCACTAAATATGTTTTTTTTTAATAAGGACAAAATAATACACATACAAATTATACATATAACATAATATAAACAATTATAAATTAGAAGTATAAATGTTGATAGAAAATAACATTTAATGATGATTACAGAAATTAAAAACAAATTTGCCATGTTTATTACTTTAGTTTGTTGTGTACCAATACCTAAATCTACAGTGTGAATAAGTGATATAATTGTCTATACAAACAAAGCTAGATTCTTAAATTTCTACAAGGAGACGACTATAGCGATGATGTGATAATAACATAATTATAATGAAGGCATGCATTGGAAAAGAAAAAGTATTATTAAGCTGAAGAGTTTGTTTGTTTGAACGCGCTAATCTCAGGAACTGCTGGTTCGAATTGAAAAAATATTTTTGTGTTGGATAGTCCATTTGTCAAGTAAGGCTTTAAGGTATATAACATTACGCTACGACCAATAGAAGCGAAGCATCAGTGAAAAAAGTAAAAACGGGGAAACTTCACACGAACGAAATCGAGGGCACAGCTAGTATGTTATATTAGTTAATAATTAGGGAAAAAATATATATAATAATTTTTTATTGGTTTTCTGTTTGGGAAGTAAAATTATGATTACATGAATTTTTGCGTTCATACGGTTATCTTCAATGTTTACAATGTTCTAAATATGAAATATGATCTTAATTCAAACATACTTGTTTTTGGCAAACGAAACATAAAAGCAATAAAGGGTTGGTCAGCAAATACGACCTCAGTATATTATGTAAATAACGAACGCATATACGGGTGAAAGCACTTGGGTAAGAATTTGTAAATATTACCGCCCGTTTCAACTTCAGATCTAGAAAAAATATAGCTTGGTATTTGTAATACGTCGAGATACACATTTATACTTATTGGAATGTAGTGTATTGATGCCGAATAACTAGTTCTAATTTTAAATATAATAATCATCCATTTTGCTAAAAAAAACTTAAAAGAATAACATATAGAATGTTATTCTTTTAAGTTTTAACTGTTTATTCTCGACGTGGTTAATTCTTTTAATGCCGAAATCTCAAAGTGCGTAGGTATCCACTCTATTTATGGTGATTCTTAGAAGGCGAATTAGCAGGAATATTAAAGCAACTTTAACCCCGATTTTGTTACATAATTATTCATAAGAACTTTTTTAATTTTTATATACACTTTAACGATACAAATATTAACTTTTTTTGTAATTTAAATGATAAATAAGTTTATTGTCCGTCTGATGGTAAGTAGCTCAAGGGAACATCAGTAAGATAGACTTGAAGTCATGCCCCTAACACTACTACAACGCTAATAGACGAGTGAAAGGCGCCGATGACTTCGTACAAAGTGTACATCCGTAAATCTATAATTAGATTATGTAGAATCCTACAAATTCAAATTCAAATTCAAAATATCTTTATTCATGTAGGTCTATTACAGACTCTTATGATATGTCAAATCTACCGTCAGTTCGGAATGATTTCGAGATGAGAAGAACTGACAAGAAACTCAGCTCGTATTTTTTTTTAATGTTGTACATATTTACAATAATACTATTTCATTTAAATTCAAAATTGGGAGAATAGAGTGACCACCGGCATATGCTATATAAAAAAATAAAAAAAAATCTAATCAGTGTTCGCAACCTGAACAGACCAGTCCTCACAAGCAGCACCCGTACACGAGTATGACGGATGAGCCAGCCATCATTGCACTCAACCATATTAGAGGGAGCACATCGACCCGGCCCACCACGCCGCCACAAGTTTGAACTTTATAGCGAGCATGACTGTTTCAAGTTACTCCACTACGTCATTTATATTATTTACAGCATAAACTGTACCAATCACAGTTTTCACCCATTACAATATTTAATTTACATTATTTAAATTACAATATGTCATTACTAATATTTAAATTACAACTATATAACTACATTAACTAATATTTAAATTATCAATTTTTTCTTGAGAAAATTTAAATAAATATAAGTAATTATTAAAGAATATTTCCTATCTACATTTCACAACCGTCGACGTATATTTTAGTATTCAATATAAATACAAATAACCGCCAAAATATCCTTTATTGAATCTTTTCGGGGGCCGTGTAGTAAATAGATTAACCAACATGAGACGTGAGCTTCGAATAACTCTCTAATTAAAGTAGGTACCTGTTTATTATATGTAATGTATTTTAGGTAAGGTAACCTAAATAAAGTATATTTACTGTACGCCGATCGCTTTCCCAAAGTTTTAAATAACTTGTTTTAAAATGTTGTTTCGTCTACTGATTTACGCCTATAAAATATAATTTATTTATATATGTTTCATGCTTATTTTTACATAATTAGAATGGCAAATAAGGTGAGGGCAAACCTGATGCTAAGTGGTAACCGTCACCTATAACTGCACCACAGATATCACGTTATCAAGTGACTGTGACTTTAATGATCTTCCTATGTTACTATTTGGGAGAACTAAAATATTATTTCTCTTATATTGTAACTAGCTACTCGCCCCGGCTTCGCACGGGTGTACATGTATTACTTATATAAACTTTTCTCTAAAGTCACTCTATATATTAAAAAAACCGCTTCAAAATCCGTTGCGTAGTTTTAAAGATTTAAGCATTCATAGGGACAGACTGCGACAGCGACTTTATTTTTTACTATGCAATGATTTAAAAAGAATATGTGCTGAGTTTCTTGTCGGTTCTTCTCATGTCGAAATCATTCCGAACTGACGGTACATTTGATATGTCATAAGAGTCTGTAATACCCGTAGATGTACATGAATAAAGATATTTTGATATATATATTTTTTTTAATTTGAAGTTCGTTATCTTATTTGATTCTTCAACCGAAACAACATACATAGCAAGCCCCTTGGCGGCAGAAATAGGTGACACTGAGGTACCCAGGCAGACGATTTTTCACAAAGTCTACCTATGTTTGGTAGATTTACATTTATTAAAAATAAGGTAATATAAAATATTGTTACATTTTTTATTAAAGTAAGATCAATATTCCTGCTTTTGAATTTAACTCGTTTAACTCCGTTTATAGATACGGTAAAAAAATAAATAAATATTGAGCAAATGAAATTGTGACCTGACGAAAAGTACACAATATAAAATAATACATATTACAAAAAATGTGGCGTGAGAAACACACTTGCAGCAAACAATCAACAACAGAAGGTTTCAACCAATGTTTTTGTTATTGTATTAAAAAGTAGGTCAATTCTATAAATGTATGTACGCATATATATATTATGTTATTACAATTCTTTTGGCCGCATTAAATCGCCGTATCTCTTCACATCCCAAAGGTTGACTGGGAGAGAATACTATAGCATTGCCTTTTGCACCAATATCAGGGGTCAATAAAGCAAATAAATAAATGTTATCTATATAAATAAAGAATTATATACTTACTTTTATTATTTACATATCTACGCTGCGTGTAGACTATAATTTTAGGTCACTACCACAAGAGGCAAAGAAAATGGAGCATGAACACAGGTTCTATTAAGGTTAACTTATTTGGACACACATGAGGGGTATCACGATGAACTTACCGCGTTTTGCTTCGCCAATCGTGAGCAAGCAAAAAGAAGTTTTGTTATTTACAAGAGAGTTAGCGTTAGCCAGCCACACATGGTAATCTAAGGTTGCGAGCATACGCGTAGGCAGGAGCGGGCTCTCATTTGTTTCAAATGTTAAATAAATAATACCATTTTTAATTTAACTTTTATTTTTATAATTTGTACTTTGCGATGAATATTTCGTTGCACGTTATTAATAGACTTCTCTACAGACTTTACTTTGTATTATTTTATGTTATAAAGTCTGAATATATTATTATTGGTAGATTTCAAAGAAATAGTATTTTGTTCCGTAGATAATATATTTCAATCTTGTAATATAATAATAATAATTGGGCGTTGTAAAGACTGATATAAGATTATTAGAAACAAAGAGGAATCTTGGTCGATCTCACATTGTATTATTTTACTGATAAAGGCTATAACAGAATAGCAGAGAAGGTGGACTCACTGCCCTCACTGAGTTATAGACCGTTTTGTCTCATTCATTAGTTTTAAATTATATTATTGTATGAGCAACAGTTGTATTGTGTGAAAAGTTTTGTTTGAGACAAATAAACATTATTATTATTATTATTAAAAATTACAGACTTGCGTTTAAGCATAAAATAATTTGAAGCTTGCATATTCAAACAGCATAGAACGACGAGTATATGCACCTTTTGAACGAATTATAACTTCAAGATTACATGAAGTTATAATTCTTTCAAAAGTT